GTGCGACTCGCAAGCAGACGACCAGCTTTTATAAAAGAAACGTTAGAACGTTATTCTTCTTGCGCCGCGGCAAACGAGAGAGAATGAGAGAGAGAGAGAGAGAGAGAGAAAGAGAGAAAACCTTCTTTTACAGAACTTTCTTTCGTTATTTCCTTCAGTGTGAATTCAATGACCCCCGATATCGGAAGATTTTATCATTTATAAAGGAAACATTGAAATTATTTCATTCTTTTATCAATCTAATTAATTATTTATTTCATTTTACGATTATATATATATATATATATATATATATATATATATATATATATATATATGTATATATATATGTCTATTTTATTTTTTTATTAACCCCTTAAGCAGCAGCACGCTCGAGTTAACTCGAGCGGGCTACTAAATCGGCCGATTTCCGTGCGCTCGAGTTAACTCGAGCGGCGTATTATTTTATATTTCTATGATTTTTTTTTTGTATACTCAAATATAATAGAAAATTGAAAATAAGAATGTAAAAGCAAAGAAAAAGAATCGTTTTTTTTTTTTTTATTCCGAAATGGTATAATTCGAAAAGAAAGATTAAAAAGTCGACGTACGTGTCACATTGCAATATTTGGCACTTATCTGCAATGTGGAACAAAATTCAAAATTAACATAAAAATATTGATTTTTTCCGTATTTTTTTTTTTTCATTTTTTTTTTTGTCAAAACAATGTTCTAAACTATGCTCTTATGCAAACAAACAAAAAATCATTTTTTTAGCCGTTTTTTTTTCAAAATCATTGTTGATTAAGAGGTTAATCTAATCTTAGATTATGAGTCGAATTGGTGACCATGATGGATGAACACTAGCAATCAAATATTGTAAACTTCAGTTTTTTAAATGGTTGCAGTAAAAACAGAAGAGTAATACATAAAACAGATGATAGTAATAAAAGTTCTTTAACCCTTTCGTTACGGGCGTATTTTCCGCAATGCTACTTCTACTGTACGTGCTGTTAATAAGTGCAGCATCGAAATTGCACTTTATTTTTAAGTAATTTTGTTATTGATATTAACGATTTAAAACACTAAAATTACATGTCCAGTATGTGTGGGATATTTGACTTAGTGCTATAACTGCATATGTTCGTCGTATGTAAAATACACGGTATTTTATTGAGGGCCACTATAGTAGTCCGTAGTAGCGAAAGGGTTAAATTAAAAATTTAAAAAACATGATTTTCTCATAAGGGAATAAAATCCTTCCCCCCCCCCCCCAAAAAGAGATCCTTGTTGTGTTGAAGAATGGAAGAGATGGAAGAGAGTTAAAAAAACAATAAAACAACAAAAAAAATATAAAAATATTTCCTTACATTTTTGAACGTATTTTTAAAAACGTATTAGAATCACTGCCCATCAGATTGTTCTGATAAACCCTGTATATGTATAAGTTTAAATGCATGGAACATACTAGGTGCATGTGCGTGTATATACGTTTTGTTTGTTTTATGTCTTTATGCAAGAGTGTTTTTGTAAATATGTATGCATTTATTTATATATATATATATATATA